AAAATTGTAAATGGAACATACATTGGAGACTTGGACCTTTTGTCTGAAATTATTTGGCAAAGGAGTCTCAGAGCACAATAGTCATCATCAAATGGTCTGTTTTATTCAGTTTTAGTTCTTCTCCCAAAAAAATTCTTATTTGCCATTTTTCAGTTGTACAAAAGCCAGAGCAATTTCTCAGTAAGGAGCTCAACTATCATGGCCACACTGTGCTCTTGGGGAGAAAAAAAATTGCCTTCCACTACAAAATGTTTACATTGGCTGCTGAGGTTTCTCCTGATTTCCTCTGTTGGGAATGAATAATTAGGAAGTGAACTGGGAGGTGAAAAAGGCCTCTATGTGTTTAAGTCTAATGTCACAGCTTTCCAAGGACAAAGCTTTTAATACATAGAAAGGTTTCTCTGTCAAGCAGATGAATTCAATAGCTAAGCAAGACAGCAAGAAGAGGAGTCAAACAAAGCAGAGAATTCCCAGTGGGCAGCTTTGAGTATGCACTTATGACAGGTACTGCATGAAATGGATGCAGAGCACACATATGTGGGACACACAGGCAACACACATAAGGTGTTAATAGTCTTAGCTGATGCCAAGGAAGAAAAAGAGCAGACAGGGTCAGCTACTGTTTCCTGAGCTAAATGTTCTTTTTCTTATGGTGGTCAGAGCCAGGGGTAGTTTTACAATGTGCAAAACATGCACTTGTAATTAAAGTGAAACTCACACTGACAGAGAAAGGGAATGGTGAATGTTGACCTCACATGCTGCATCTGTAGAGCATTTGGGGACACATTCTTTCAGCAGAAGTGATGTTGGCTTCTGAAATTCTTTTTTAATAAAAGGTGAACAGGAATAAAGTTCTGTGTTAATTTGTACACATGGCATGAAGCCATTTCTCAGGAGAAGGCAGTGCTAATGGTACTTTGGAATAGAGAACTACTCCTTTATATTTTTTTAATTCTCCATTCTTCTACTTGAAAACAGGGTTTTCACCATTGCATGTAAGCAGTGAAAGTTAAAATAGTAAATAGGAGAAAGGAAAAGTAAAACCTATTTTTTCCTTCTGTTTGTTTTCTGCTGTTAAGCTGATCAATACTATGTTCACATAGATATTTAGGCAGGTAAGTCCCCAATATACCTTAGTAACACATCCACCCAAGCCTAGTTTGTAAATTTCTTTGGACATCTGCCCTTTTAGCAGAGACCTAGAATAGGAGCCACTGAAAACTTTGTCCATTTTCAGATACTTCTTGGCTGATACATGTGAGCCTACAGAGAGAAAAGTGTGGAATTTCTGCCAGAACCAGTGCGCTACTGACCCTGAGATGGTGGATGGAAAGACAATCCATATGAAAACAGAGGCTCAGATCCTCAGCTGTTGAGTCATGGCTTGAGCTGCTCTCTTCTGCTTGCCTGGGGGAAGTTCTCTCCCCTGGTGTTTTGAATTGGAGATTGCTGGGGTAGACATGGAAATCTACCCCCTGCTCCAGCCCTCCTACAGTTTTTAATCTCGTGCACTAACCAAAGAATCAACAAGTATATCATCTTCCTTCCACAGAGATAAGAGCCTCTAAGAAGCAGAGCACTCTGCCTTCCAAAAAACTCATGCATAAAAGGTTAATTTAGAGGCTGAGATATCTGTGTATGTTGGACAAATGGGGAGCTGAAGGGATTCTTTTTATTCCTCCCATTCTCCTAGCCTTGGCCAGTGAGTGCAGATTGAATGTATGACTTTACATTATGGAGCACCTCTCCATCACCCAAGCCTTTGTCAATTCACCAAATGTGACAATTATAGCATTTCAGAGATGAGACTTTCTAATCCTATTACTCATTCATCAACCTGGGGATGATAGCAGAAGCCAGATCGAACAGTGCCAAAAGAGCAGTGAGGAGCCTTCTCCAGTGCTGTGAAACTAGGCTTAGCTCAGGCACAATAGGTGTGTAATTTAAGGTTTTGTTGAGCTGAAATCCAATCACATACTTGACTGGTAGATCACAGAAAGACACAGACAAAAAGAATGAGATAATTCTACCTCACACAAACACTTGAATCCGGCTTTGACTTAATAACAAGTGTGTGATCAACCTTACACTGTTTCTTTCTTTTTTATTTTTTTTTTTTAATTTTTATTTGAACCTAGAAATGGGATGGCACTGAAATACTTTGCCTACTTGGGTGTCAGCCAATAATATGAAGAAAAAAATACCAGAAGGAAATGGAGGTACTTGTTTAGATAAATAAATCTAAAAAGTACAGATGCTCATTATATGAAAGATAATCAGAAAATTTAGCTTCCAGGCTTAGCTCAGTGTTATCTTCTCAGCATCTGGTACCTGTTGCTTTTCAAAGATGGGGAGGATCTAGCAGAAATATGAAGACTACAAAGCTAAACTTGACTATGTGAACATTATTGCACTCTCTCTCTTGCTACTAAAATGCTCCTTTTGCATTGTCCTCTTTCAGACATGGGAGCCCCTGTGTGTGTGTGGGTGCCAGGTGCTGCAGCCCTGTGCCACTGCCAGTCATGTAACCACACACAGGGGACTGGGAGCATGGAGGGGAGAACCACAGTCTTTCATGGAAACACAAAAGTGAGTTCATTCTCTTCTGTGGTAAAAGGTGTGGCTTCTCATCAGATAGTGTGGTATTCATATTGGGTTTTGTAAAGGATAGTCTTCAATACAGGTTACTCTATGTATGTATGTATGAATGGCCTTTAGCATTAACAAAATTAAGTGTAAGGCATGTCAATTACAAGCTTTGGGAAGAAAGTTCCTTGGAATAGGAACTTCTCATTTATGTCCATCATCAGTGCTTCATATAGTGTAGCAGTCCAGCTTCTCTGGCCAAGTCTACTGTCAAAACCAAACTTAAAAAAACACATTTCCATAGGTTTTTTTGGGCATCTCAAGTTCTTTGAACTGACAAATTCAGTGGGATTAACTGTACATGGAATTTGGTGCTAGCTTGTAGGTGTCATGACACTCAGACATGTATAAACCCCAAACTAGAGGAGACACTAAAAACCTGAGAACAAGCCCACTGCTAGAAAAAAAGGCAAAGTGTTTTAACAACTCAGGCCTGGCAGAGGAACAAGCCCTTTAGTGTAGTGGTGGAGAACATGTGGGGTTTTAAAGTCTGCAAATCAAGAAATGCTTTCAAGCCACATTTCTTGAGTGGACATGTAAGACTCCAAATGCCTTAGACCAAATTACATGTCCAGGGGATCTCTGAGGTGCAGCCAGCTCATGAACATGGGCAGGGTGAAACTCATGTGGAGGGCAGCTGACAGGGCTCCTCTGCAGCCACAGATAACACCTGCACTGAGCCTGTGCCAAAGCAGAACAGCCAATCCTTGGTGTCAGAAGTGCAGTTGGTAGGGCAAAAACCCAGAAGCCCAGAGAGACAAGGAGGAAGGGGAATCTTGGGCACCAAAGGGTTAAATTAAAGTTTGAAGATTGGCATTAGTCACAAAATACCAAAATTCAAGCAATGTTTTGCTAATGAAAATGTAAATAAATTACCAATTTGCAGGATATCAGACTCAGAAGCATACAGAAACAACATCAATTGAAAGATTTTTTTCTTTTTTAATAAGTGAATTAGTAGAGAAAAATCCTACAGTGATGAAGCTCATATTTAAACATGACAGAGGGAGATATTTTCAATGGCTCACAGGAATACAAGGAGATTGAGATATGTTCCAAACCCAGGGAAAACAGAGATATCCACAACACAGTATAATCTGAGAAACTCAAATGGGGTTTAATGTGGTTCCCAAACTGCAGAGATCTCATAAACATAGTGATTTCCTTTAGCAGTATAAACTCTGACATTTGACCAGACAATTGCCTTGGGGACATTAGCTAAAATAGCCTCAGCTTTAAAATTGAAATATGAACTTCTAAAGGCTTTGGTAGTTGCTATCCAGTGACACTGAGACAGCTAACATGACTAGTGGCTGCTGCTGGATATATCAGCATCCCTAATTTAGAAATAAGCTGGAGATTTTGGCTGTTGAGCTGCAGACACCCTCTGATCTGGAAATGTTCTTTCCCTTTGGTTTGCACATGTGGGTAGCTCAGCTGCCTTTCACCAAAGAGAAGACAGGTATAGTTTTCACCATCTTTTTTACCTGTCAGGAAGCAAAACATGATTGCCAGTGGTGTGTAGCAGAGCTGGTGCTGGTGGTGCTGCAGCTCCTCGGGTGTGTGATCCCACGGAGGACAACCCCTTACATGGCCTGGGGAGAGCCCCTGCAGGGCGGTACAGAGGCTGCTGTTGCCCTCCATGTTTTGGGGAGGAGGCATCAAGCATTTATGCTCTTAGCTGGCAGGTTTATTATTCCTTTTGCTGGTAGGACACAGTTTGGGTTCCTTTGTGCTGCAGCCTCAGCTCCTGAGGGGCAGCCCACTGGGGAGCATACCCTGAGGGTGAGCAGCAGTTGCCAGGACAAATGCAATTGTTGGTGGTCTCAGGGGGCTGCAAGTGCTCTCTGTGGGAGCTGTTTGATGTTGTTGACCCCAAACTGAATCAGGGAGGGGAAGGAGGAAACTGCATTCAGCATTCTCTGTATAAGTACATCTGCTAATGACCTGTGCCTGCTAAGGTGTAAATGTATGCATACAGTCAGCGCTTTGGCAAGTGCCCTCTCTTTATAGGCACGCTTGCACACTGTACTGTGTTTTTATTCAGCATAGTCATTTATGATGTTATATTGCTGCAAAGTGTTACCCGGATTAACAAAGAGAGAACAAATGCTTTTTGTTGCTGCTGGCTTTTCAATATCCAAGAGCAACTAGAATGCTTTAGACTGTGCAGGTGAGCATTTGCTCACCTGTGTGGGTCCCTGAACCATCTCTCCTTTAGCAACCAAATTAGCTATGGGGATAACTATGTGATTTTCCTGCTTGTATCCAATATAACAAAGACAACAAGGTAAACCAGCTTATGGGTCATGCTGTCTTCCAGCCACTGAGTACTATGTATTGTGTGTTTTCAGTAGAAAAAGGAAGTAAGGACCTCTTTGGTGCTGTGGTCCCTTCAGCTCCACGGGTTCATTCCCTGCACACCAGCTCTGGATGTAGAGGTGTCTGTGCTCTGCTTCAGGACAGCACGAGGTAAGGAGAGTTGGGGGCAAATTTGATCTTCTCCTAACTTCTCAAATCAAAACCAGGACAAACATCACTTCTTCTCCCTTGCTCTCTTCCACCCAGCCTTTGCCTTGCCCCCTGGGGCCCTTTGCAAACCTGTGGGAGCTGTGGGAGCCCTGGCTGCCTCACTACAATCCTGCTCTGCAGTAGCCTGTGAAAGGTCAACCTCCACAGGCCAGTGGTGGCTGTGTTTGCATCACTCTTTTCTTTTTGCCTTCATACTCTTTCCCTTGGTTCCTTGTCAAACTCTAAGAAAAGCTCTTGAGAGCCACAGAACAGGGGCAGCTTTGGCCCCAAAGAAATTTAAGTGCATGACTCTGTCTGAGCAGACCCCAGATCGTTGCTGTCTGCTGCTGCAAAGTGTCAGACTCCATTGCTTGGTGACTAACAGCAGCAACACTTAACAAAGTTGAGTGAGGATGATGGTTAAGCATTTCTCATCCTAAGGAGCTACTATGGCAGCTGCAGAAGGCTCCTACAGTCTGGCTGTGCTCTGAATAACCTCTCTCACTATGGTTCACATTAAAATTTTTGATTATCTGTCAGACTGCTGCTCCCCTTCTCTTCAGCTATCAGAGTTGCAACACTCTGTAGAAGTCATTTACTTGCCAGTGGTACCGTTAGCCCTTTGTGAACAATTAAGCTGAGGTCGGAGGTTGTAATAGATCAAATTTGCAGACCATATTAAATTTTATTTTTACTGAAAGGAACTTTTTGTCTCTTTTATCAGGAGGAAAATTAAGCTGTGAACTGGAATTCCATCAGGCTGTCTACTGTAAAGCCCCGTGGCTTTAGAAAAGGGGCAGTAGTGGTCAGAAATGACACTCAAAAGGTAAATTTATTTCTTTTTTATTAAAAAGGATAAGTTATGACCTGTACAGTATATCTTAAAGAAGGAGGGATGTTAACACGATAAACTGCATTTTTCCATTTCTTTTTAAAAGTCTGATTTTGCCAGGCCAGAGAAGTTCGGGATGGGAGGGAAGGGGACGCCGAGCTCCCACTGAAGTTGCAGAGTATGGTCTTACTCAGCCTCTTGGCCTGCCCCACCACAGAAACCTCTGGTTTTGGTTTTTGGAAGAAATGTAGAAGGTTCTCTCCTGGTCTGAAAACAGCATGGAATTGTGAGCTAAATATTCTACCTATCCAATTATAAATGAGCAAGCAGCTCAGGATAGGTTTATGGAAAAGATTTCCTGCTTGGTTCTGGAGCTGGAAGTTTCTTGAGGTAAGGTTTTTAAAACCTTTGGAGGCTCACCCTCTGTCTGGGCCTTTTCTCTCACCAAACCCACCAGAAGTTTTCCCCCTTAGAGATTACTTTCCAAAGTTTTGTTCAAACTTACTGTGAATTTTTGCCATTTTAAACAATTATCATTTAATAAATGGAAACAATGTTGCTATGAAACCAAACTGCAGTGAAACACTATGTTGTTCACTTGTTTCCAGAGAACAGAGATTTTGGGATACCTGGTCAGCACCCAGCCAGGCTGATGCTGCCTTTCACCTCTCTGGGGCTGTATTCTACAAATTAGATTGTTTAGATTGTCTTCTGGACCTACACATGCAAGTGTGCGCTTGTTCTCTTCCTGTAAGATAACCCTTCCTGTCCTGCACATAAATCAAAGCACACGTGTGAGGCTGAGGAGCCTGAGCTGATCTTGTCACTCCTTACACAACCTGCTCCCTTTGCACAGGTTTGGCCACCTGTGGGTTACACACAGACGTGGTTGATTTTGTGCACAGTGCCTGATGATATTAAATTAGGCTGCAAACACCCAAGAACCTTTTATTTTTCTGCAGGATTAAAGGATTGCCCTGCTATATTTGGCGTGGGTTTCTCCTCCCCTCTTTGCTGCACAGTGCTGTGTTCCACTCACCCATATCTCCTGTGTTTCCACCCTGAAGAAGGCGGAATTTCAACAGCAAGAAAATGGATTCTATTGTGCTCTGCATAATTTGAAAAACACCCTGTGGGATGAATTGTGCAATTTTAATATTCATTATCTCCAATGCAGACAATAGAATAGACCTTAGTAGGAAAGACTGATTAGCAGATTACTGTTCAACTTGGCACATTATTTGATGATAAGTGGGTAAAACAGTTTCTCAGGACCTGAGTTTTTGGTATTAAAAAATGAAATGTAATGGCTGTGTGGGAACCATTGTTCAGTAAATATACATGGGAGCTCACAGGCCATGCACAGGTAGAACTGACTTTGTAACTCTTAGGACTTACTGGTTCAGCAGATGAGACCAAGGTATTTCTGTTGCTCCCTCCAACTCTAAATAAAAGACTGGAGAAGGGGAGCATGAAATCAGTCCATAAACTAAATGGTAATGTTTTAATTACAATTCTATTGTTATTCTTCTTATTTGTCTACTTGTATAGTTTGCATATTCATTCCTTTCTTTCTCAAAAAGGTTTTGTTGTTGTGGTGTGGTTTGTTTTGTTTGGCAAAAGCTTGACTCCAAAAAGAGGGTAAACTTGTCATTAAAAGGCCATAAGGGAAAGAAAGAAATTTTTTAAAAGGGCCGTTTTTCCTACATTCAGAGATTTCTGTGGGATAAGGATACAAGGTGGATATAGTTTTGTAGAAATAGAGACACTAAGATTTTTGTAGACAAGAGCAAATGAAATTATGTTTGGCAGCATGATTAAGGAGTGTGATAAAATTTAGCCAAGCAAAAAACTCTTGTAACCATCACCCACATGCATTTAAAGTAACCTGATAATTTTTATAAAGGTTGTAGTACTTGACAGTTCCTTTCTTCAAGTGCAGTCTTCTGGGGTATTTATTCTCTTAAAAACTTCAGTGAAATGCAGCACTACATGCTGGCTTAGTTCCTTTCCCATAGAAGACAATATTCAACAACATTTTTTTCTTTCTTTTTTTTTAGCAAAAAAACATGTAATTAATAGAATTACAGTTCCTGTGAAAGAGAGAAGATGCTTTTGATCACAGAACCATCTAAGGAAGTAAGTTCATCTCGTTGTAGAAACACTGTCACAGCTACAACCTTCTTGACTGGTTCTTTATGTCCTCCTGTCAAACATTATTCTTACTACATGGACACTTGTCAAGGTTTGTGTCAGAATGCCTCAGACTCATAAGAGCCTGCTGAGACAGTGCACAAAGCTGTAATTTCCATGGCTGCTTTGATAGGAGCTGGGACTCTGGCTCTTATTCTGAGGTCAGGATGGACAGTGTCAGAGGGCTCCTTCAAGCCTAAGCCAACCTCAGGTGCACAGGAACTGCAGCAGGCTGGGGTGGTGCCTGAGCACAGACCAGGGCTCAGGAAAGATTGGCTTGAGGAACGTTTCCTTTCATGGTAAAGTCAAAGTAACAGTCAACGCAAGCAGCAGCCTCTGATGCCTGCCTACAACTACAGTGTTCTGTGCACCCAGCACACACGACCAGGGAGCAGGGGACTCCACTGCAGCCTTCACTCGTGGAACCAGTCTGCTGCTGTCACTAGAGGTGCTGGAAAGCAGGTCCCCATCACAGGTATTTCCTGGTGCCATCAGATGATGAGCCGTGACTAAAAGGACTGCCAAGGCTGAGAAAAGAACAGGCTACAACAGATAATATTTAATAAGTGCATCCTGAGATTTTTCAGTTTTTTCCATACTTACACATAATATATTTTAAAATAGCTGTGTTTGCCTATCTACTATTTTTCCCTAGTTTATGCTGTCTCTGGGCCTGAGAACTTTGTCTTTCCATTGTGTGCTGTCTCACAGACATAGTATAATGAAAAACCTTGCTTCTAGTTAATGAATAGTCTCTAGTTTTTTTGGGTTTTTTTTTTTTTTTCAGGCAAGAGTGTTAAAGAAAGCCTAGCTTTCAGCTATTAAAAATATTCAATGACATTTATGACAGATTTTCCACTTCTTCTTTCCTGCTGCATATAATCTTCAAGATCATTAAAGGGAAATTCTGAGATTTTCCATGCTCAGTGCTAATGTAGTACTTGTTTCATAATGAAGCTTGAAATGGTGGGATTTTTCTCTGCACATGATTAATGCTAAAGTCCACATCCTTATCTGATAGAAAACACCAAGAACTCCACTGGAGTAAATGAAGTTAGGATAATTTGCATCAGTTGAGAATGTGGCCCTGTATCTGGGTGACATTATCCTGCCTGCTACCATGCAGACACCAGCTGGGGTGCTGTTGTTTCACTCCTACGTGGGATAGGAAGGGTCTCTGTGGGGGAGAATGAAAGTGGAGAATGGTCTTTGCTAGCACAAGTTAGGAATAAGCTGTCTGAAGTATAGGACGATTGAAATTAAAAGGAAAACTCACCATGACACAGTGAGGTGCGACTGAAACCACCTGAACCGTGTGAGGTTACTCCAGAGGGATCAGTGCTCAGAGGAGCATGTTTGTGGTGCGGGATGGGAAATTTCTCCCAGGCCCTGGGGTTTTCAGGTTAAACCAAACTGCTTAGGGGCTGTACTCAAAGCCATCTGGAGGCTCTAACTACCACTGTGCGAAATGCCCTGTTCCTCAGGTGGAGCTGGCAGGAACCAGTTCTTCAGCTGCAACGTTGGCTTTCTATTTGCATTTGGATGGAAACCAAGAGGTTGTTTTTTTCTCTCTGACTTTGAATAGAACTCTCTCTCCTCCTTTAAGCTGCCCTACTTCTTAAGCAGTGATGCTGTTTGCAGTGCTGTAGCTACCTGGCCCTGGGCTTTTGTTTCAGAACACTTGTGCCACAATATTCCCCTCCGGAGGTGTCTTGCTAGAGGCACTGTCTCCCCTCCAGTCCCGAGAAGAACCTGTCATGTCTCTGTGGCACAATAGAAACTTCTGGGGTTGTCATTCTGTCCAGCATGACTGAAGTAGCAGTAAAATATGATGTGCATTTTTAGTAGGTTACAACCTTGTTCCTTGAGCTGAAGGAAGAGAGCGTATACAGCAAAATAGGTAGAGATTTTACTCATTTTTTCCCCAAATACATTTTTGCAGTAATTTTTCACAAGTAATCTTCAATTAAATGAAACTTTACAATTATTCAATCCAGGCATTGTTTAAATCAGAACAGATTTCCTGTTGAACTGAAGGAGGTCAGACTGGGGCTCCAAGTGAAAGTCAATACAGTTTTTAGTTCCCTTCTCTTTCTTGCCTGATCCAGCACTTACACATAAGAAAGTTGGCCAGCTGTGAGCTGGTGATCCAAGAAGGATGGGTATGCCTCAGAAACCATTGCTCCAGCTGTCTCAGGCTGTTCTGGTGAGCCAGAGGTTTGAGCTCTTCAGCCCAGGGATAGAGAATTACAAATGTGCACTGAAATAGAAGCCCGAGTTCAGGGTGAGGACACAGTAGAACAAAGACCATTGCTGTGGGAGAATTATAATAAATGGCATGAAACAATGCATGATCATTTCAAATTCTTGCCAAATGTAACTTGTGATTGTCACTTTTCTTGGGAATATGGTCTGCTACAAAAACCAAAACAAACCAAAACAAACTCCAAAAAAGAAACCAAACAAAAAAATCCAAACCAAACCACAAAGACAAAGCCCACTGAAAAAAACCACCAAACCAAAAAATCCCCAAAAACAAAGAGAAAAAAAGAGAGAAGCTGGTGATTCTTTGGAATTAAAGGTTTAGGATATGACATGGGGAATTAGACATGGGCCTGCTGTTAGCAAGAATGTTGACCTCCGTGCATAGTTCTGAAAATAAACCCTATTTCCAGCTCAACTGGATTTTTTTTCTTCAACTGAAGAACCAGCATTGATGTCACCAGGGAAGAGAGTAGATCTCATGACTGGAAACTCTTGATGTCATTTTCAAATGCAGTTGTAAACCCGAGTGTTGACGTGTAGGTGTCCACGCCCATAATATTTACAAACCACAATATGTGTGAGCCTAGTTTTTATGGTGGCAATAAAATATTGCCAAACGTTTCATGGTAAATATTTAGGCTTAATCAATTATTGCTAAAAAGAGGGGTAAAAAGGCAACACTAGCAGAATTGAGACTGTAATGCATTAAAAAAAACCCTGTTTTTTACCGTGGATT